CCCCCCCCCCCGTTCATGCTCTGACCCTTTACAGGATGGCTGGCTCTCCCCTGAATGAGCCTTCTAAGAAGAGAAACAGAAACTGCCAGTCCTCTTAATGGCTAGGGCTGGAAATGGTGTAGGATTACTTCTGCTGTAATCTATTGGTCAAAGTAGGCCCAGCCCAGCCCAGCCTGAAAATACAGGAAGACAGAGACTCCATCCCTCTATGAGGACTGGAATGAGCATACATAGAGGGAAGGAACTGATTGCAAACATCTTGGAAGCTAACTACCGCACAGCTCTATTCTTACTGACAGCTAAAGGTGCTCATGAGATACAAATTAGAAAGCCGATTACAAAACACCATATATATAATCTGATCTAGTTTTTATTTTTAAAATATATGTGGTTATTTGCACTAAAAATGTCTCAAAAGATAAAGAGTAAGCAAAAATATTAATAATGATTATCTCTGCAAGTTAAGAATTTAGGTGATTATTTTTTTTCTTCCTGTTTACCAATATTTTCTAATAAAGATTACATATGTGTTACTTCTATAACAAAACAGAAGTAGAAAGTGAATGATCTATGATTTTAACAGGCAAATAGTTTTTGGTGTTTTAATTAGGATATACAAATGGTAAATTTCAACAAGGCCAATCTAAATACAGATCTACAAAGAGAAACTCAGACAGACTCATTTAAATAAAAAAAAAATCCTTAGTCATAGAAAGGGCAACCCAGATAGGCACCCACCTTCTTGGGGAGAAACATTTGGTGTATTCCAACCCCAAATCCCTCAGGCCCGAGCAGCTTCTGGGCTCTCAATGCTGGGTCCAGAAAGAAACAAACTTGAAGGAATTTCATTCATATCAAAGGTCATGCTAAACAGCTGCAGAAGTCTGAGTCAGGTTCTCGGGCTTCTACAATGTTGGACATTCACTTTGCAAAAGACAGATGGATCCGAGGATTCTCAGAGAAATCAGAGGCCCTTGCTCAGAGTCAGTGTTAGCCCCGAGCAGTACTAGAGAACCACTTACATGACGTAAGTTAAAGGATTTCCAAAGTGTCCTGCCAAAACTTATCAACTGCTTCCCAATCCCTAAAATTTTCACCACTGTATAAGTAAGCTCAAGATTACATGACTCCATAATACCTCTATAGATGAAGAAGGAGGAAGAGAAGATAAAGGAGGAGGAGGATGAAAAGAAGGATCATAGATATACATAAACACAAGGTGAGAATGTAAAAATATGCACAATTAATTGGCTGGTCTCAAAAGCAAGACTAGAAGAGAACAGGAAATAGGACAAATCAGATTTTTATCAAAGGGATTGCAGAAGCCTGAGTGGGACCCTCCATGGAAGGATTCTAGGCAGTTAGGAGACTGTCTACATCGACTGGGTGTCTAGAGGTATCTAAGAAGACAAGAAGTAAAGGCAAAGACACTTTGTCTTTTTGCCAATTTTACACTGCCCTGCCCCCACACCCTTGAGCAGACACAAACCCTAGAAACCTCTGAAACTTATCTACACTCAGGATAGTTCCATATAATCCTACCTAATGTAATCATTTCCCCTAAAGAACAATTAGGCTCAAAGAAAAAGGAAAAATAGCTGAACTGGAAATCTTTTTTTAATCCAAATAATCTATGACTCTGAGATAAAAACAAAGACAAATTTTACTCACCGATAGTTTCTTCTGATGCAGCAGTCAAAGCTAGAAACTTTTTTGTATTTTCCATCTCCTCATTACTTTGCAAAGTTTCACTAGTTTTTGCAGACTAATAAAAGAGAAACAAGTTTAAACATGGAAAAAGAAGGCAACTATACTCATCAATATTTTTTAAAATTCCATGGATTCCAAACTGTGTACATACAAACAAGAAGGTTCAGGTCATTGTACTTCTTTAATTGGGAAATCTATTAGTGTTCTTGTTCCCACAAAATTCTAGCAAATAATATTCCCAAATAGAGTTGGAATATATGTCTACCATTACATAATAATTATCTTGCTTAAATCTTCTTTAGCTTCTGTTTAATATTTCTATAACTAATGAGTAACCTAAAGGTACATCATCAAATTACAGTTTCAGACATTTCAAGATTGATGCTGTATTTTATTATGGGTCCAGTTATCTTTTTTTTTTTTTTTTTTTTTAAGATTTTATCTATTTACTTGACAGAGAGACAAAGCGAGAGAGGGAACACAAGCAGGGGGAGTGGGAGAGGGAGAAGCAGGCTTCCCGCAGAGCAGGGAGCCCGATGCAGGGCTTGATCCCAGGACCCTGGGATCATGACCTGAGCCGAAGGCAGACGCCTAACGACTGAGCCACCCAGGCGCCCCTCCAGTTATCATTCTTGTTTCCAAACAAGTAAAAATTTGCTTTGAGATTCAATAAGAGTAAATGATAGACTAATTTTGTCTGCTAAAATATACACAAATCATTTCTCTAGTTTAAAGCACTGCATTTTGTATGGTGCTTTCTTTCTAGCCCATGGTCTGCCTGGGAATCTTGTAAAAATGTATTCTTAAGGGCGCCTGGGTGGCTCAGTTGGTTAAGCGACTGCCTTCAGCTCAGGTCATGATCCCAGAGTCCTGGGATCGAGTCCCGCATCGGGCTCCCTGCTCTGCGGGGAGCCTGCTTCTCCCTCTCCCACTCCCCCTGCTTGTGTTCCCTCTTTCGCTGTGTCTCTCTCTGTCAAATAAATAAAATCTTAAAAAAAAAAATGTATTCTTAATTACTTCATTATTAATTCATATCATCATCTAGGAAATTTCCTTGAAGTCAGCCAACTGATCAAGGAGGAATTTATCAAAAACAACCAATCTGTTTTTACAATACTCCTTACTTTAAAAGTGCTCTCCTTTAAGGGGCAAGGTTCAAATATGAGCCAATGGCCATACATCAAGTCAGCGCAAACATCTGGTCAACTTCCACCCCTCAATACTACAGAGAATAAAAGGTCCAAGAAGGCCAAGCAACATTAACAGAGCACTAGAAATGTATTGAGACAGAAGCAAATAGAGTATGGTCACAGACCACAAGCACTTTACAGCATCTCAGAGATCAGCATATGACCAGCATATGAAACAGTGAACTCTCCACTCCCTGGTCACAAAAGTTTACTCAAATAATAATGGTCATCAGAGGGTTAAATGTTTGGTATAGTTATGTATTTATCTCCAAACTATAAGCTTGCTGAAGAAAAAGCAGACATACGTACTCGAACATAGGCACCACATCACTTTCTATTCCAGAGATGGAGGAACCCCAGCCTGACACTGGGAAGAGAGGTCTACTGTGCTGTCATGGAAAACAAACATGCCAATGCAGCGCCTGAAATCTGGAATGCTGCTAAGTTACCTTGTCCAGTTCCAGAGAACTATCTCCCTCACCCACCCCCTCAATATGGACATGAACACACCACTGTCCTACTTCCACAAAATAAATCAATAAAGGCAGACCACACTGATACGACCACAGTCCATGCTTTTCTTACTTATCTTAAAGGAAACTGTTTCTTCCTTGTCAGCATATGGTTAAACAATTCTTACCTTAAGTTCTTCCCACAGCTTTATTCTCATGTCTAGACCTTGCTTCTTAATTTCTTTTTCTCTATATTGTCTCTTCACCAATATCTTATCAAGCCTCCTCATCTTCTGAATGGCATCTTGAAGTTGAGAATCTAATTCTTTTAATTCGGGTTCATCTATATTGTGTTGAAAGTAGGAATGAGCTTGAAGTTTAGTACAACCATAAAGTTTTGTTTTGTGTTTACCATTTGTTCTTTCATTCAACAAATGTTTATGGTTCGCGAGAATAAGTAACATTGGTGTCATGTATCTTGATTTACAAAGTGCTTCCACATGTATTTTTTCATATAATTATCTAACAACCCTGTGAAATAGACATTTATCTCTGTTTTACAGTTGAAATAACTGGGTCTTTTCTTTTTTTCCCTTTTTAAAAATTTTTTAATTTAAGCATAATTGACACACACTGTTACATTAGTTTCAGGTGTACAACATAGTGATTTAAAACTCTATAACATGCTGTATGTTCACCAAAAGTATAGCTACCATCTGTCACCATATAATGCTATTACAATACCATCGACTGGAAAAAAAATAAAACAATACCATTGACTGTATTCCCTATGCTGTGCCCTTTATTCCCATGACTTATTAATTCCATAACTGGAAGCCTGTATTTCCCACTCCCCTTCACCCATTTTGCCCATCCCCCATACCCTTTTCTTTCTGACAACTATCACTTTTTTCTCTTTATTTATAGGTCTGATTCTGCTTTTTTGTTTGTTTATTCATTTTTGTTTTTTAGATTCCACATATAAGTAAAATCATATGGTATTTGTCTTTCTCAGTCTGACTTATTTCAATTAGCATAATACCTTTTAGGTCCATCCATATTGTCACAAATGACAAGATTTCATCTTATTATGGCTGCCTAATATTCCATTGTGTGTGTGTGTGAATATATACCACATCTTCTTTAACCATTTATCTATCAATGGACACTTGAGTTGCTTCCATATCTTGGCTATGAAAGATGATAATCTGTCAATGAGCATAAATGCTCATATACTAATGACCTAACCTGGAGTCTAAGCCACTCCAGGTTAGATCATTAGAAATGGCATATTCTGTTAAGAAAGACCAAATTTTGCAACTTTTTAAAATCCAGAGAGTGCAGTGTGTTTCTCTATAATGTATATCACTTTCTCTTTAAGGAAAAGGAGACATTTCCAGAAGGGAATTAGCTTATCCAAAAAGAATACTGATCTTATTAATAAGAAGGCTCTGCCATTTCTCCAAAGAAGACATCCAAATGGCCAACAGACACATGAAAAAGTGCTCAATATCGCTCAGCATCAGGGAAATCCAAATCAAAACCTCAATGAGATACCAC